TAACAATAAATCAGTGTCCAAACTCTGGTCCTTGAGGAACACCATCCTGCATGTTTAAGTTGTTTCCCCGCTTGACACAACTGATTTGAATAAATGGCTTCCACAGAGCTTGACAAAGTAATTAATCATTGAATGAGGTGTGTTGGAGCAAGGAAACAAGTAAAACATGCAGGATGGTGTTCCTCAAGGACCAGGGCTGGGAACCAGTGCAGTAAATTATCCCTATTATTATTAAAACAGGTTTACAACTGAATGAGAAGATACAAAAGTTTTAATGTTTTTTTTTTTACCAAGATTAGAGAAATTTAGTATGTTTGCTGAGCTTTTTTTATGGTGTGAGATGGTGACCAACAGAGCTGACCTCAATGATCCTGGTGGGTCAGAATCCAGACCAGACTCTTTGTGTTCATGTTGGACAGCATGTCCTCAACTAGAGTGGTTGAGCTCTTACACCTGGGCGAGGTTTCTCTCACTCTGTCGTCATCTTTGTCATAGTTGGCCCTTTGAGCACATCAACTGGCCGACTATGTTCACTGGCACTTTGGAGTGTTAAGAGCTGCACATCCAGAAAAGTGAACCTTCTCTCACCCACACTCAATGTACCACCAGTGGTCCTAGGCAGATTAAAACCCACTGCTGCCACTAAGACTGTTCCTCTTGCACAAGTGTGAAACACCATCAGAAAACTGAAACCAAACAGTTTTCAGTTCTGAATTTCTGAGTAACCTGCCATAACTGTGTACAGGTTTAACATAAGAACATCAAACTACCGGAGAAAGTACCGTTTCCATGGCTGCAAAAGTTGGGTGTGATTATCAGCGGATCTCACTATTTTAAGTAACGTTTCCTTTTTTTCCTTTTAACAATCAAAGAGTATGTTGTTGCATCTAGTTCAAACTTTAATGGATTGCGCTCAATAGGTTGAACAAACCAGGATTTTGGTTCTCTAGATCCTGACATTTGGAATGTATACGTTACAGGAGATTAATGATAAATAATTGAAGATTAAAGTAAAAGAACTGATAGATTCTGTCAACTTTGATCCATCCTTTGGTAAATGCCACAGTGGTAAAACAAACATCAAACTAGAAACGAATACATCTTAAAACATTTCTAAATGTTATATTCTGGGCGTTTGTAAGTTTAGTGGACATTTACAAAGTGCTACAAAAACATTAAAAACTTTCGATGGCTGCATGGTATTTTCTCATCTGTCACCTATGGCTAATTTCATTTTAGTTCTCAGCAGAGTTGATGCTGTGGAGAATTTTCCCACACAGAAAGATTAACCGTAACCTTGTTCTTGGAATTCATCCCACTGTACTAAACAGCACACATAATCCTTATAAAAGAAAGATTTGGGGACTGGGAATGTTGCCACTGCAGAGTCAAAGAGGTCAAGAGAAAGAAAGGTGGCCAAGGTTAACAGGAGAACATGAGAAGGTGGGGGGGCAACTCAACAGGAGTAATCAGGGATCATAAAAAAGGACAAGAACTACTCTGGGTAAAAAGTCAAGTGATCTGGTCTTGCATTCCTTTCATTCATAAAGCCATACCCACAGTTACAACAAACAGAGGAAACCTGGGAGACCTGCGCAAATAATTTGCAGCAAGCGGTACGGAAGTTAAGCCAAACAGCTTAAAACTCCACACATATGCACAACTGCCTTGCATTGCTATGGCATATCGAGATGCAATTGTAAGAAAATACTGTACCGTCACAGTACTGACTCTTTACAAATCTGATACTCAAGCATACGAGTTAGCATGATTTTTCATACAGCCACAAATGAGTCATGTCCCAAAAATTTGTAGCTCAGCATCTTTGAAACATCACATGTACCTCAAATAATTCAATTAAATTCAGTTTATTTATATAGCGCCAAGTCACAACAAAATCCTCTCAGGGCACTGTACAAACCATTCACATACGTTACAAATACAATATAAAAGTTATATAGCAACGACCCAACAGTAACATTACACCATCATACTACATTATGCGAACACACAACACTTTGACGCTATTAAGGCATACCGGTACTTATGGTTTACTTGTATTTATGCGTAGTAAGTGTTGCCATTGCTGGCCTTTTTTATCTGTCTAGTTAGAACTGTGCATCACTGGTGTTTTAGGGACATGTACCACTTAAAGACCGTCACGTTGTCTTATAGTTGCTGTACACTTAGTATTGTTGAAATGTATGTGGCGTAGTAAGCGTGTCAACAATGTCTGAATATAGATGTGTCTACAGAAGAGAAATGGCTAGACTGAGCAGAGAAACAGAGCACTAGCAAGAAGTATTAGAAAACCCAGAAGATGATGCAAGAGACCATAGATGTTAGATGCTGACAGAAGCATGTAGTTTGGTCATTACCACAGATTTATGAAAAAACTAACAAGATGCTGGTGAGTTGGAGTTGAGCCTTTTGTCATCCTGTGTCTTCGGTAGAAAGAGAGAGACGCGAAGAAACGATAAAGCCGATCAATGAAAATGAGGTTGATAATTTTCATTCATCATGCGATTAATTGATTTATTGTTTATCGCGACAGGCCTATCCACAACTCTCTCCCAGATCTTCATCGTGCGGATCAACTTGATTCCCGTGCATTTGCTTCACTTCTGTACATCATCACTCTTGTTCTTACAGTAAAAGGCACCAGCACACGTCTCCGTTCTTCAGGGAGTTTCCCCACTCTCAAAAAATGCCACTGAATAATTGAAAAACACTGACGTCTTACTTCGAATCACTGGTGGGTCGTCAGGTCCAACTGCTTTCCTCTTCTTCACTCTTCACTGCTTTCAGAACGTCATCCTGAGCAATCACGCCTACTTTCTGGTCTAGTTTATCGAAGCTTTATTCTTCATTCCCTTTCACTTTCTTCATTAGCTCCTCAAAGTACTCCTTCCATCTTCCCATAACATTCTCCTCACTCGTTGAACATTACCATTTCTAACTTTAATGAGCTTGGATCCTTTCTAGTCTGAACCTTCTCTCCTGCCAGTTGATACAAGTCCTTCCCTCCCTAGTGTCCAGTCTTTTGTAAAACTCATACAGTTTTTGTTTTGTCTTTTTTTTTTGCCTCCATCTTGTCCTACATCACATCTCCTCATGTTCCCATCCACTCTCTTCAGTTCTCTCATTGTCCCATTTTCACTGTCCTCCTTCCTCCGAATAGCTTTTAAATACACCAACATCAGGTTTCCTTATCTGTTCTTTGTCCAGAAAAAAAATAAAAGTACTTTCCTACCTGTCTCTCTAAATAATCACTGTTGCTGCAGTAGCCCAGTAATCTGGAACTTCTTTCTTACCACCCAGAGTCTGTTACAGCTTTGCTCTGAACTTCTCTCCACATTGTTCCTCACCTTCCACTTTTTGGTCTTCTTCCCTGATTTTATTATTTTTCTCTTCTTCACCACAATAGTCATTCTACACACAACCATCCGATGCTGTCTGGCCACGCTCTCTTTGGACACATAAACATCTACCTTCCTTCTCTGCATCATGCTCTCTACATTTGCTTCTCATTTTCTCTCCAGTCAGTGTTGCTACCCTCAGTCCTACACTCATGATGTTCTTCTCCGTCTCCTGACACATTTCCCTCCTCGTGGTCTTCGACTATCCATCCAACAATTATCTTTACCTGCTTCGTCCTTTTCAGTTGTGGGGGTCACTGGTGCTCATATCCAGCAGTCATTGTGAGAGAGGCGAGAGACAGCCTGGACAGGTCTCCAGTCCATCACAGGGACACAGAGACAAACAACCATCCTCTCTCTCTCATCTAGGGACAATTTAGAGTTACCAGTCAGTCTAACATGCAGGTTTTTGGTCTGTGGGAGGAAACTGGAGTACCTGGAGAAAACCCACGCATGCACAGAGAGAACATGCAAACTCACAGAAAGGTTTCTGCTGGGATTTGATCCAGCATCCTTCTTGTTAAGAGGCAACAGCTCTACTATCTGCACCACCGTGTCACCCCAACTGCAGTTTCTGCCAGCACCTCACTCACTTGGCAAGAAAAACACGAAAGTATTTTTGAACAAGGGGAAGTAATAAGTTCCCTTCCCAGACTTACAGCATGTTTCAGTAAATAAGTTAAAAAAACAAAGTTGGTCAAGTTTCTGTCAGCTGTTCTCTTCTTCAGTGGTCTCCACAGCGAACGAACGAGCACGAAAGATTTGACAATTGTTTAACGCTGGATGTCCTTCCTGATGCAACCTGGGCTCAAGCCTGCAACCTCAGGATTTCAAGACCACGGCAGTGACCACCAAGCCACCACAGCGCACCCCCCCCCCCCAAAAAAAATAAAAAATTAGTCAAGGAAAGCATTATAACTTATTTTTAAGTTTTACATTTAACTTAAGGCGGCATGGTGGCGCAGTTGGTAGAGATGTTGCCTCTCAGTGAGAAGGTCGCCTATTCAAACCCCAGCCTGGCACCTTCCTGTGTGCAGTTTGCATGTTCTCTCCGTGCATACGTGGGTTTTCTCCGGGTACTCCGGTTTCTGCCCACAGACCAAAAACATGCATGTTAGACTGATTGGTAACTCTAAATTGTCCCTAGGTGTGAGAGAATGAATGGTTGTTTGTCTCTATGTGTCCCCGTGATGGACTGGAGACCTGTCCAGGTGTCCCCTACTCCTCACGCAGTGACTGCTGGATATGGACACCAGTGACTCTTGTGACCCGAAAAGGAAGAGAATGGATGGACATTTGACCTAAACTGGTTTGTATTTGGATAAAAAAAAAACCACCTAATTTCTCATGGGACATTACATGAAAGTGTTGAACATCAACAGTAATGTCAGCTACTGAAAAACAAAACAAAGATTAATTTATTTCTGGAAGCCTGATATCCACATGCTTTGCCAGGAGCTTGGTTTAGACTATACAAGTTTCCATTTTCAGACACTTATCAAGACATATCCCTTAAACATAGATATGCATATATAAATATTGTGAAGTCATTTTAAAATGTATTAAAAAAGGCACCAGAACTGTAGTATCTCACATTTTTATTGTTTGTTGTAACGAAGCAGCATCACTGATACAAAAGAAAGAAGCCCCTCCTTTTTGTTACGGCGCATTACAAATCTGAACGTTCAGCCGGATTCGCACGAAGCAACGACACTGAACAGAAGCACGGAGCCAGCGCTTCACCTCGGCTGAGGGGTCACAGAAAAATAAGGCAGGTGGTTCAGTACCTCTCTTCAATCAGCACATGCTGGTGTCTGGTTGACAGATCTACAAACAGGCTTCTTGGCTGTGCCGGCACGTTGTGCATTTTTAATTTACAGAACGATTAAGGTGTCGAGACATGAAGTCGGCCGAGAATCTGAGTTCCTCAGTGGGTCAGTGTGTAGGACATGTTGCTCTGCAGGACCAAACCTGACGAGGAAAACCTCGTTCAGGCAGTTCATGTGGTTTCATAACTTTTGCGAGATGAATTTAGAAAGAAGCCATCTTGAACATTCATTGTACCCCTTCAACACAGCCTGTGTACATCATCAGGCTACGGAAAGTTTCAATTCAAGTAAATAAACTTCACCAAACCAGGCGCTTTACAAGATGTTTGGATGACAGCAGTGATACACGTAGAAGCTTCAGTAAGATATGACCTACAGCTGTGCACAGCTGGTTCTGTGGAACAGGTCCTCCTGAAAGATTCTCGTGTATTTTGTCATCCTGAGATTAGGATCCAGTTTGAACGTTCTCAGCATGATTCTGTAACACAGCTTATTTGTAGCTTATTCATTTAAACCCAGTGTTGGTAAGCAGAAGCCAGGTAGCTGCAGAAATGTTATTGCGTCGTGAGACCTTTGAGAAAACCAGGTTCAGAAGTAGGCTCGCAGATTAATGCATCTTGATAGGTTGACAATAAAACATGACAAAAGGTATACGACGAACAGTTTCTACAAATGTACAAGCTTAAAAAAAAAAAAAAACTACTGTCAAACAGCAATAAAGATCGAATATATATATATATATATATATTACATATACAAAAACAAACACTTGATTGTAGAGTACATCTCAAGTACAATCCCCCCAAAATCCACTTAAAGGCCATGAATGTCAGTGTACCATAAAATAAAGAATATTTACAAAGCATATACATTTGTCCTAAAAGACCATGTTTGTAGTCCAAAAACGCACACACAAAATACACCATTTCATTTGAAAGACGTTGATTTATGTACTTTGATCCCAAAGGATCTGTAAATGTTGTCCACTTTGGCTGAACGTGTTTGTGACACTTTATCCATTTATAGATCGTGGATTGAACGGACCAATCAGCAGCTGTTCTGCTCAAAAGGCACTTTTTGTTATAGAGGCCAAATACTAAGAAAGTCATCCAAAAGGCACAATTTAAAATCCACGACAAGGCAAAAATGTCATGAAAAGACATAAAATTGATTACAACTTGTCTGAGCTTAGTTATAAAACAGGTTAAAATAAAAAAAAAAACAGGAAGACTAGTCCATGTAGAACTATTGTGTGCCACTTTTATCAAGTTGTTAGTTTCCAGGAGTACCTTAGATTTTAGAAGAAAAAAAAATGCTAGCTGGGATTTTGTTTGGAAGATGATCTTTTTTAAGCTAAACATGAAGCTAACGGTAAACAGCTAATTAGCAACAGCTAATAGCTAGCTAACGTAACATTGAGAAAAACTGTTAGGCATGGCTAACACTTTTTAAAAAAATTTCTACTTCTGGGATTTCGATGGAAAAATAGTTACTGATTTTATTTAAATGCTAAATAAAGTCAACACCTAACTAGCTAGCTAGTCCCAGCGTAAAAATGTAACACATTTTGTTTTTCAAGACGTGTGTCGTCTTGCACTGTGAGCTACCGCTAGTCATTTCCAATGTGTTTGTTTTTTATTTTATCTTTTGCCAGTTTTTCTTCAATGTTTTTATGTGAAATAAAGCAACGCTTGTTTACGACGATTGAGTGGCTAAAGCTAATGTCAACAAATGCACCTAAATTTAGGTTTTATCTTGTGCTTCTTTATCAGAGTAGCTAAAATTTGAACTTAACAGATGTTCACAACTTTGTTCAAGCACCACAGCCACCACTCCAACCCAAACTTTCAAGGAATATTTTTGTTTGCTGGTTTTATTTGTATCAAAATGAGAATATTAAAACTTGTCAATGATTTTGTGAAGGTTTAGCCATTTTCAAGATTTTCCCCCGTAGTGAGTTTCATTTGTACTCAAAAGTTGGAAAAGAAATGACCTGGAAAGCCCCACAAAGTTAAAATGTGGACTCAGAAAGTTGTAATTTCTTTTCAGGCCGGCACCTTAAAATTCAATATAGATGCTAATACTCACAATAACAAACATTTTATTTTTACTTCTCACTTCTTAAGTTTATATTTTATTAAATCTGTCCCACACAGTGATGCCCTGTGGTACAATCACTGTGAAAGTCTCAACAGGAAGTGTTGATTGTCAGTAGACTCGACAGCCCTATGTGTAAAAGAATGGCATGTATGGATTTATAGAACAAAGGAGTTTGATTTGCTCTATGTGTTGCTTGAATCGTTATGCTCCCAAACACAACATGGTGTCAGAAGTGGGATTCGAACCCCACGCCTCCATTTGGAGGCAAGGAACATCAACATCTGATTTTGTGTTAACAGAATGTCATTGCATCAGCAAGAACAAGCTCCTACAGAGATTATCCATAAAATCCAGAAAAATAGTTAGCCGCATGCTAAAAACAGCTAACCTGGTTAGCATAACAACTAGCTTACCTCCCTGGTTTTCCAACTTCAAACTGAAACACAATAAAACCAAGTGTGACGTTTCCGGATCCAACTTCTGAGATAAACGAAATGCTGCGTTTCACCGAAGTATCAAGAACCAACTATAGCATTAGCTTCATTTGTAGCATTTAGACGTTAGCGATCTCTTTCTCATCTATTGCTTCTTCAAACTGTGCATGTACAAAACAAAAATATTACACCCGCTGGTTTAAAAATAGAAGACATTTACATTTGTATAACATCAGCAGTGAGGATAATGAGATGTTGAAATCTGCACTACAACTAAAAAACAGCTACATCTACCATTTCAAGTTTGCTTTGATTTCTAAAATCTCCAATTTTACTTTGATAAACAGAACAATTTAAATAGTTTTGATGCCTATCTGTAAAACTGTGACAACAACTAACGGTTGCACATCATTAGCTGTCTAGTAAATTAAACACCTGGTGTATTAGTATATTATTATTCCAGCATATGTACTGCTTGAAATGACCGCTCAGCTTCACACAATCTGAACAATCATCTTAAGAAGACAGGATCTGACCCACAATCCCACTTTTAGCAGTAGATAGACTTAATTATGTACATTCTACGTGATCAGACCAGTCTGTGACAGTAATACTGAGAGCACCTTGTAGTTTCTGCACACAAGACGTGAATTTGATCCTTGAGACTCTGGAGCTGTAGCGCTAATTTGACAACAAACGTTTTGTGTAGACTTTGGCAAAATGTTCGGTCGTTTTCATGCTGAGCAGCAAATTTAACCAAGAATAAAATGATTTAAATGATCAACAAACCATCTTAACTGATGAATTTGAGCTTTTTCAAAGTGTTAGCCCAAAAGATGCACTGATATGTACGTTTCTGCCTGTGGGGGTTTGTTACGTCTCCGTATGAAGAACAACAATAATGCTAGAAGTGCTAATTTTTTCACGAATGACAACAAAATCCACCTCTGTATGTCTCTTAAACCCAGAAGAGAAATGGAGAATGGCATCATCCGTCAGGCCCAAGAGTCCACTCATAGTTCCCAGTCTTGTCTCAGGTGAGGTCTCTTCACAGCGGGACATCTCTTCATCGTGATGAAGATTTCAAGCGGTCATATTGTTCCAGTCTACGGGTCGGGAGTTGTCATGTTCCAAAACGCACAAAAACTGCCGATCGACGATATTCTGGTGATACAGCGTGATGGTTTTAAATGAAATGGAGCAAACCAGAAGTCAGGTGATGCGGTGGGATAGTTGGACTGTTCACCGTGACTCCAGAGGAAGAGGAGGGCTTTAATGACCAGAGCCAGAGCCTGGCGGGTTGTGGATCCAGTCAAGAGTAATGAGAGTCAAGCTGCCGAACATGAAAATAACTCCTGTGATCAGGAAGATCAGCGCCTGGAGAGAAAGAAACAAGAAGAATGGGCTGAGAGCGTGCAGGGTACATGACAGGGGCCTGATGAACTTTAAACCGGGTCACGTTTGGAAGACGTCACCGGTGTCTTCTCTATCAGCTTCTTGAAAGCTGAGCCGGTGAGAAAGCAGCACACGGTGTACCGTCCTGCACACTCACCAGAATCTTGTGCCAAGAGTTCATGGGCTTCGACTTCACCAGGCGCAGGTAAAAGGCGGCGGGGAGGATGAAGATGAGGTTTGTTGCTGCAGTACCACCTGGAACGAAGAGGAAGAGCAGTTAACAAACATAACCTTCGTTAAACAGAACGTGCTCCAGAAAATTATGGGAGTAGGTGGAGAATATCTGGAATGTGAAAAACTGACTGACTGCGATGACAAATGGTGTCAAGAGAAAGTAGGACACTGAATTTTCTCTGCAAGGGGTTGGAACGATTATGAGATTCTGCTATTTTTAGCTTCGAGGTGTCATGTCAGCCAAAGGGCGGCACCAGTATCAGAGCCACGGCTAAGTTTTACCATTGGTGGAAGTGGTGCGAAGCTGATGGGACAAAAAAAGAGTTTGAACTGACCGATGAAGCCGAAGATGTCCCTGATGGTAGGAACGAAGATAACCAGCATGTTGTTGAAGGCCAGGATGGCAGCAGCTATCAGCATGTGGCGAGTCCAGCTGAAGTCACGACCGCTGAAGAGCAACGTGGTGATGGAGGAGCGGATCTGAAGGAAGCAAAGCCACCGTTGTTAAATGCTACTCCGGTCGTAGCTTTGGAAAAACGTACAAAAATACACCAGTTTGGTGGCAGCAAGTCAACATTTGGAAAGAACAATATTCCACGTGCACGCTCATGGGATTCTGGTGAAACCCAGGTGTGTTTGGAGCTCAATGGCTCAGACATAATTAACAATGAGACATAAAAAACACTTAAACAGGTCACAGAAACTTGTGGTTTATACCAGGACTAATCAACTAAATATCTCAGGGGCCACAGTTACTGAAAGCCAAGAGCTCAGGGGCCGGACATCCAGCAGTTATTGTCATTAAGTTTGTTTTATGGTTTCAAATCTAGTTTGATTTTAAAATGAATCCATTGGTGGGCCGAACTGAGCTCCCCTGTGGGCCTGATTTGGCCCCTGGGCTGCCAGTTGAATCACCCTGGTTTATACAACTAAATGAAGTCTGATGAAAGTTTGAAATGTCCAAAGTTTCTAAAGTTTTGGCAAACGCAACAAAAAACTACTGTAGGACATTCAGTCCCCCCCCCCCCCCCCGTTTACACACTCAAATTTCTACTGACTTTCACCAGAAGTGAACTCATCTCTTCTACATCAGGTTTACCGTATTTTCCGACCTACAAGTCACGTTTTTTTTTGCATAATTTTCATGCCCTGCAACTTAAACACTGAAGTGACTTATTTATGGATTTTCACTCATATTTATGAACCAGTTTTTGACTGAGATATGACTGTTTCCATTCATTCTGACTGAAAATATTGAACACTACCATTTTCAGCCACTAGATGGCACTTGAGCACTATGGCATGCCATTGTGTCATGTAATAGATAAAAGTGGCTATTAATGACACAATTGGCTTGACATAGTTAGAGCCACCTTCGTCCAGCTCGCCTGGAACAACCATCAAATCAGCTTCATTTTGCTGCACCGCCCCGGAGAAATGCAGCTGATTTTACCATCGAAGTGCATTTATTAAGGAAAAGTTCAACTGAGACACACATTTACTATAATGTCGAGCAAACAAATAATTGTTTTTAAGTGTTAATCTTGTTCAATTCTTGTTAAAGTCCTCCCGTGCACGCTCCAGCGACTGCCATTTGGCAGCACCGGCCCATGTTTCCGGGTTGTCAGCGGTGACGCATAATAGATGCGACGTACATGGCGAAGTGACGTATTTATGGATTTTCCCACTTTATTAGACATTTTTGGACTGATGCGACTTATAGTGCGGTGCGACGTGTACGGTGGAAAATACGGTATTTTACTAAAATGCTCAGTGGGGGGCCACAGTTACTGAAACCCGCAGCGCAGAGGCTGGAGGTTAGGCAATTATTATGTGTTAATTTAATTAAAATTAAAAATAATTTTACATAAACTAATTGATCAAAGATCATTTATATAAATGGATCATCTCTGACAAATACTGATAATTACAGAGTTTTAAAAGTGTTTGTCTTACAGACATTTTTCCTGATTTAAAATCTAGTTTTATTTTACATGAACTCATTAAGGACCGGACTGAGCTCACCCATGGGCCAGATGTGGCCACCGGGCCACCAGTTGCTCAAGCTTGACCCCAACAGACTAGAAGACACAGTCAATGTTTCCGTCCAACTGAAAGATCTTTTCAAGCTTCTCACAGCAGCTGTTTATGTGAGGCTCACTTTCTGCCTGTCTTATCAAGAGTGCTGACAGAGAGGAAGAGACAAGTAGTGTGTGTTGACGGTTTCTTTTAATCTAGTTTTTTTTACACTTCTGGTTTTGCATCAAAATGTTTCTGTGGACTTCAGAAGAAACCTGACAGATGTTGGGAGTCTGGGAAAGTAGCTGCCCTCGTCTAAAGAAAAGTTTGTTTTTCGGTAAATTTAACTTTGATAAAAGTTACAGCAGCAAACCCTCTGCCTAAAGTGTGTCAAGTCCTGAGAAGTGCAAAGGGAGGGGTGTAAACCGCGGAGCTGAGGCACCTTCAGCTCCTGATCCACAGCCGGTCTAAGTCTTCACTGGGTGAAAGGTGGCAGGTCTTAAAACCAGATCCACCGGGGAATTGTGGGCCGCAGGGAAAAGGGTGAAAAGGAAGCAGAGGTTTTACGGCTTGTTCGGTTGGCCGAGGGATTATCCCCCGCAGTGCAATGGAAGCAGGAGGTTGCATCAGCCGCTGCTGAGTGGGCGGGGCCTATCTGCAGCAGAGGAGGAAAGTCTGCGATGAGATTTAGATTCATTGCACAAATGAATAAATAAATAAAATCTAATTAACTTGACTTTCCGAGTTCCCCCCGTCACGCCTGTCAGGAGGCACCGGTGCGACTCGTACTCCTGCCAGAAAACTGTCGCCACTTGAGCCAAAACCACGTGGGAGAAAATGCAACCAACTTTAGAACATCTCCTGGAGATCTAAAGCCCGATGTCCTCCGTCGCCCCGCTTCGCTCCCACCAGCTGTTGCGTAATTCAGTCGGCACGGAAAAACTCGAGCCTGGACGCTGCATTTCTCACCAGGCTGTTCAGCACCTGGCCGTTACCTGACGCAGTGCTTGGAGCTCATCGTGGGATAGTTACTCTTTAACTCGAGCTCACACAACCAGACGGACCTGGACTCCTCTGGCGTTGGTTAGGGCCTGGTGTTTTGTCTACACGTTTTATAACTTGACTTTCAGCACACAAATAAGAACAGAACCTACACAAGACGTTCCAACCCTGACTCAAGGTTCACAAGCTGAGCAACCAAAACGAAGCCAGAGCCACTCAGAGGGTCCTGAAGGGTCCTGAAGGGTCCTGAAGGGTCCTGAAGGGTCCTGAAGGCAGCCGTGAGCTCAGGTGGTGGAGCCAGAGCAACACTCTAACTGAGCTGACCGTCTTACACCAAATAAATGCACTCATTTCATTACAATCATCACAGGATACAGGTGGTTCAAATGGTCATTAGGACCCGTAAGACCTGTTTTTATTTGAACCATCATAATTGTTTTCAGACGAGCGCTCTGATGCACGCGTCCTTCAGTTACATTATCTTGTGAGAAAGTGAAGACAAAACAATTTAAACGCCACCATAAACAAGCGGTACACCGACGTCCCCGGTCACTGGGAGGTCTGAAGAATGAATGTCTCTAGTCTTCGAGACGAGTGTCTTTCTGGAATGGACAGAGAATAAAGTAAACCTAAATGTTTTTGGTGCATGTGTGTAGGAGTTACACTGTGGAGAAGAACACAGGTAGACTTAGCTTTATTTTTAGGAGTGATGGATCCTGGTGAGTGGAGGAAGCAGTGGTGGAGCCAGGGGGTGGCCAGTGGTGGCCTTGGCCACCCCGAGCGTCACACCAATCATTTGTGGAAACTATACCTTTAATGGGGTGCCCAGTTTACATATACGTGGCAGTGGCCATCTTGGATTTTGACGTGGCAGCTCAATTTTTTATTGTGACCTTTTTATGTCTAGATGCAGCCACACAACAAAATGGACGTTGGTGCCTCACTTATTTTTCAGGTTATTGTTGTCACAGGACGGACGGAGGGTATTTCCAGTTCATCACTCCGCTCAGTGACGGGGCCAACAAACCTGACAGCGTTCTGTCCTACTGCCATTTTGGACCTGTTGCTGAAGCATTGTAATAAAGAGAGAAGTTTATCACGTGCGTGTTATAATTCAAACTAATCACACAGACAGTATCGCCGATATCAATCCAATTTGATACTTTTAGCTCAAAAGAGCAGCTTTTATCATTTCACACATGAGAAGAGTATGTTCTGTTTTATTTATTTTAATCTGAAAATATTTGCAGTTCAGCCTGTCACAATAACAAAATTTGCTGGGCGATTAATTGTCTCAGAAAATATTGCATGAATGAATGAAAAATTGCGATAAACGATAATATTGTTTGAAATTTGACAATAATTAGTAATTATTGTCAAATTTAAGAAGAAATGCTGGTTAATTTTTGTGTGTAGTACCTTTTTTGATCCCCGGATAGCAGTATAAGACTTTGAACCAAAGGATGGATAGTGAGGGAGCGAGCAGCGTGTCTCTTTAAGAAAAATGGGAGGGAGGCCCCTTGACGTGACATGGGCTGTCTCTCCTTCATTTGGTTCTCAAAATGGTGGACGCTCGGTGTGATTTGAGCTCTTTAGCATAGTATTTCACACAAAGCTTTTAATAAAAAATCAGTAAACAAGTTCTCAACTTCTTTTTGCAGACAAAAACAACATTTTACACGAAGACACGGGTTTCATCCATTCATTTTTGGGAGCTTTGACAAGACGGAGGGTTTTTTTCCCCAGGTCAGCCTGTTAGCTTAGCTCGTAGCTTAGCTTCTCAGCTTAGCTGCTTTTAACGATCCAAAAACGTGATTTTGGATGGGTAAAACAAATTTTAAAGAGAAAGGGAGGAGTCAGTGAAGAGCACCGGAGTTGAACCTTTTATCATCCAGTGTCTTCGGTAGAAAGAGAGACATGAAGAAACGATAAAGCTGATAAATGAAAATGAGGTTGATAATGTTAATTTATCATGTGATTAATTGATCTATTGTTTATCGTGACAGGCCTATTTGCGGTCTAATTAAATGACTGATTAGTGTTTTCCACCATTATTTAGCTGATTCTTCTTATTTTATTATCCAGCACGGATTTTAGGCAAAGTTTGTAGACGAATAATAAAATAAAAACTTGTGAACGCTGAGAGCTGAAGCTAACAGAGCAGTAGCTAAAAGGAGCTGAAGACACAGACATGAGCCTTATGGTGACCGGGCTCATCTTTTAAAACATTCTTTGAGCAACTTCTGCCATTTAAGCTCAAACGTTTTAAACAGCGTAGGAACCAGTGGTAAAGGTGCGACCGCGGTGGTGGAGGTGATGGTTCGCCGCCCTCCCCGTGGCTTCAGTCTCCAGTCTGGGCCTGAGAACTGGGACATGTCTGACTCCGCATAAAGCCCTGTCATTATGTACTAGATCCGGGCAAAGCCCTGTGTGATCAGGCCCCTGGTCGAATCCATCTTTCACGTGACTGCACACACACACACATCATTTCAGGTCAGGCCCTTCACACACACACATGCCCGCCGCCTCGCCGCAGGAGCCGGGGACACCGAGACAAAGGTAATCTGCTGCTGAAGGTCGGCAGCATTGTCCTGTCCAGATTCTCCAAAGGTCAGGTGAGAACTTGGCAGAACAACGGCGTCACAACGTTTGTGCTACTTTATTAAATTTTAACAAATGAAACGTTCGTAACTCTGCTCAGTGGCACCATTCTGCTTAGAATACCAAACATAATTCAAGAATCAGCCGAGTCGCCGTAACAGTCCTCACATACCTGTCTCACAGGAAGGCGCTTCAATAAAGCTGCATATGCAAAGCAACTAAAACCAGTTTTTACAAAGCACGCCCTGACAGGCCCTCCCTTTAATATTCTTTCAACTTTGTGGCACAGCCAAACATTTTCTGGTGTCATCGTTGCCATTTGTCTACACTTCTAATCAGATTTTAGTCCTTTGTTGTCGTCCCTCAAAAGGACGGTCAATTTAAAACTTTAGATTTTGGACTTTTGAAAATACAAGTATCAGCGGGATGCTCAAAATAGAACCTTTTTGTTTTAGCATGAAAAGGTTACTGTTAGGAAATTACATTTTAATTTTAACTAATGCTGGTCTTTAGTTTTATTCTGTTTTACTTCACGTGTAAAGTTTGTTTCAAACAAACCCGAATCTATAAAATAAATGCGAGCAAAGCAAACCGTCTTTAAATCTTAGAAGCTAGCTGTTAGCATTTCTTGGGCTATCAGGTTTGTTTGTTAGGCAGCTTAAGATAAATATTTAGGACCAAAACAACATATTTTACTGTGTATAAGTTATTAAGATACATCAATAACTCCAGCCTGGCTACGACTTGACAGCTTCTTTCAGGAAGTAAATCTCTGCCGTCACATTGTCCACAAGACGCTCATCACTAACACGTTTAGAGGATTGGGACCTTCGAGGGAAGTTTTGATACAAGATAAGTTGAGGAATGCACAGTCTGCCCGCTGATGCCCCGTCTCCCTCTCTCTGCCTCCCTGAAGGTCGGGGTGAGGGTTTTTCCATTCGCCCTGAGCTTGTAAAACCACCACAGCAGAGGTGGAGAAGTGCGGGGCAGGGGATCCTTTGACAAAACTCAAGTTTTTTGTTTGTTTAAGGTGTGCAGGGAAACTCCACCGTGAGAACAGGAACAAGCTACAACACAACATAAAGTGATGTTAATGGCATCTGTGTGTACACTACACAAAGTTAATACGCTGTAATTATATATAAAAACTGTGACTGTGTTGTATCTTTCCATTACATGCTGCATCTGACTGAATAAAACAAGCTGCTGCCCCCTTGTGGCCACTCCCTGCAATTACACCAACTTCAGAAAAGGCACAAACCTTTTTCTTCTCATTAACATTAAAGCGCCTGACATGAGTTATTTGCGATAATATAAATGCACATTAGCATACTGCAAAATAAAAATCACGCCACTCAGATGAGCAGTTGTTGAGATAATAAGGTCACGATTGTTACGGCACAGTAACAGGAAGTGACGCCTGCGTGCAACACGGCTAACAACACAGACAGCATAAGATCTGGGCGTCGCTCCTTACAGGTTCGAACCCCCGGCCCAGTCGACGGCTCAACAGTTTCCCTTCCTCGTCACTTCCGGAGCACTTAGGTGAGAAAAATATGCCCGCTCCGTGACAAAATGGGTTTCCTTAAAATTTTTATCTTAAAATAAAGATTTTATTCAGCAAAAACTCCTTAATTAAGACCAATTTTGACATTTGCAGGTAATATTTGTCGCAGGCACTTGTGCGTGTCTAAAGCTAAAACAAGACCTCAGACCTTCTTAGTGTTGTTCAATAATTACTGTATCAATATGATGGTTTCAGGGTCTATACGATATACAATAAACAGGTTTTGAAAAGCTAAAACTACGAGTTTTGGCCTTTCCATCACCGCCCCAAAAACAACAACTTGTTTTATTCATGCGAACACCCCCATCGTCTGATCTGAGCAGCCGGACAATGTGCTCACCAGCCATAAATTTAACAATTTTGCTATTTCCTATCTGGCAACCCTGCTTCCATAGACCAGCATTTTTTTGCCGTACCGGTGTCTGATAAGGGATGAGCTAAAATTATCCCAGGACCATCTATGGCGAGAGAAGGAAGAGGGAACATGCGCATGAATGAGTACGGGTAAGATGAGAAGGTGCGTGCAGACCTTCAACCCCAAATGGGCAGAGTGCACAGATCCCAACAGCCTTTACATGTGAGATGTTGTGTTTATAACGTGATGAAGACATGGGGGCTTTGACGACTTGACACCTGGGTTTAAGGATATCGACAAAAGCCGCTACAGCTAAACCGAGTGTTCACTTTTCAACTCATTCCAAGGAAAAAACACAATCCTGCCCAAAATAAAATAAAAAAAGAGACCGCACGGAGAACAAAACATGGTCTGTAAGCAGGATCGCACTCCGAGTGGCACTAATGTTTAAAATTTACAAGGGTGGTGGATATTTGTGTGCTCTGACGTCAATTCAATCACACCACGCCTTACAGAGGCTCCAGTTACGGAGGCCAGGAAATGACCGAGCAGCTGGCGTACTACAAAAAAGGAACAATGTTCTGCGCTCCAAAAGTTACCTCACGACACGTTCCCAACAAATCAAAACACGAGCCATGAGGTTTTTGAGACAGAGCAAAGGCAGTTCGTTCAAACTGGATGTACTTACAGGGAAAAGCACGATGGGGACCGTCAACGTGACGGCGGTGAGGACGGCCAAACGCACCAGCAGCAACAAGGTGTCGAACTTGTACACTTTGGTAAAGGTGTGCAGTAACTCCGCCTCCACGTTGTCTGAGGGAAACAGAAGAAAAACAATGCGGCTGTTTTAAAACTAAAATCTGATGGTAGACGTTAAAAAATAAAAACAATCTGTGGCGTGACGATCGTCGTCGCTCCTACCATAAAACGTGAGGTAGCCAAAGAGCGCCGACAGCATGTACATGATGAGCATGGCCAAGATGGACAAGTTGGAGACGCTCTGCATCTTTTTACGGCTGCGACTGAAACACAAAGCTCACGTCAGTGGGGAGTCACGGAGAAACGCTGCAGAGTTCAGACAGGGACAAAGCATAACGTTTAAAGTTAGCAGCAGGTGAAGGGCTTACTCTTTCAGCTCGCTGTAGATGGGCAACACTTCAGGATGGCAGACAAACGCAAAAGCCAGGATGGGAATAGTGTACGCCGTCTGGAGAACAACAGAAAGCACTGATGCCATTAAAGGTGGACATGAACACCACCTGAATTCATTTGACCTCTTGGATCCAAACGAGTCAAACTATAATCAGTGAAGATACAGTCACAACTCATCATCGTAGATTAATTCTAATTACCGTAATGTCCGAACTATAAGCCGCCACTTTTTTCACACGTTTTGAACCCAGCAGCTTATAAATGCTGCGACTAATTTATGGATTTTTATTTTTTGGACGGGATAACAAGCTTCATGCCGTCAAAACATTTAGCCTCGTCGCAACTGTGCGCTCACAGAGCTGCCCACTACAGGTCTCTCTTGGGGGGTGTGGGTCCTCGTGACTCAATGAGACTACCTGTATAAATAAATGTTTTTAAAAAATCTGACTAATGAAATTACCCAACAGGTCACAGTGGGTAACAGTATCATTGCTGCTGATGACTTCCTGGTAGGCTGCTGTGTTTATTTATTTTTTAATCATCCACGTACGTATTTGTGTATGTTACCGATGCGTATTTATTTAAAAGTATTAAAAAAAACTTTCTGTGTAAATGCGTCATGTTACAATGTGGACACCTGTGGCTTATAGACAAGCACGGCTTATATATGTACAAATTATATATATTATTTAATTTAGTGGGTGTGGCTTATATTTCGGTGCACTCAATAGTCCAGAAATTACAGTAAACAAGTTTTTTTTTTAAATTCCAGCAAAATAAAATGTACTAATAATTTACTTGTATAGAAGAAGCTTCAAGGTTTGACTCCCTGATTTTTGAATTATTTTATTCAACTACATCAAAATGCAGCCACTGGTGCTGGAACTAGTGGAGATCGGAAAATCCCGTTTAAATAAAGTGCTTTTGGTCGGTTATACGGGGCAGATCAGCTTAAAAACATTAAACATCAAAACCAGGAAACATTTGGTTATCTAAATCTATAAAACTGTGGTTACTAACTAATAAAAAAAAGTTTCAATGAGAAGGGGCATGTGTGCACGTCAGTCTGGAGCACAAAAACAGTTGCATCCAAAGCGGTGAAGACACAAACGTTTGTTCAGATCGAGGATGAGGTTGGGTCGCTCCTGTTGAAAAGTGTGATCAGGACAAACAGCACTCTACTTTCCGTCATTGCACATATATTTAGTAGGCGTGGCTTATTTTTGAGTGCACTCAATAGTCCAGAATATATGGTGAACAAGTTTTTTTTATTGTAGCAAAATTAAATGTGCTGATAATTCACAAATAACGCAGCAGAAATGCTACGGGTTTCACTTGAGAATAGCGTAGTGTAAACTTTAGACAGGCACCTATTATTCTACACCTCGGAAGAGTGTCTACATTTCTATTTCCGTTAATGCGGCCCAAACCACAGCGTCTACTCCCACAAAAGTTATATCAAAACGACCGGCTCGGCCCCGTGATGTGTGCCATTACTTTTATTGGCATTTCGAGTTACCATGGCGACGTAATTTGCGAACAAAGACGCAATATTTCATCAACTCCAGGAACTAGTTGGTGACTGCCCACTTATTATTCTACACCTGAAAAGCGTATCTTTTTCAACTTTAATGTGGCTCGAACCGCAACGTGGACCTCCACAAAAGTTATATCAAAACGACCGGCCCGGCTCCGAGAAGTGTGCAATTACTTTTATTGGCATTCACAGTTACCATGGCGACATATTTTGCTAATAAAGATGCCAAATTTACCATAGGAAATGAAAAGGAGAAAACTCTTCACAGAAACCGATTAACGTACGGAGCCATTTTGGTTCAACATGCAAGGAAGGCACCTATTATTACCTATTATCACCCGTTATTATTATTAATTAGTAATATTAATAACAACTATTAATTATTAATGTTAATAAGTATCTGTTTTAATATCAATAATTGTTCATATTAATAAGTAATATTTAAAATTAATACTAATTATAGGTGTGAATATTATTAATATTGACCATTAATTAGTAATATTTTAATAATTAATAAGTTAACAATATATAAATAATTAATAATAATAATAATAAGTATTTATTATTAATATTAATAATCATTAATATTAATATTTATTATTAATAATAATCTAATTATAAATAAGCAGTCCCCATCAAAGTTTCTCCAGGAAGTTTCTAGTTATTTTCTATTGTTCCTCCTAGAATAAATCAACTAAAACTTACAGACAGTGGCGTCTAATCTGTAATCCCTAGAGTGTGTGTGTGTGTTTTTTTTTTGCACCTATCACTTTCGTTTTTAACTCAGGAATTTTAGTTAAGACACTGTTGACAAGAAAAAAGTATTTGGTAACGTATAACATTTTCAACAATTGGATTCCTCATGGTAACGTTTGTTATACATCGCCAACTATAACTGTCAATTAAAGTGGAGTCCACTCCAAATATAAATATTTGAAGCAGGTAAACAGGTGTTAAAGTAAATTTGATTTAAATATTTGATCAGTCAACATTTTTGCTGTAACAACTGACTTGATTTTGCATTTTGGTCACAATTATTTTATCTGAGCGACATGTGAAAACGGCTACTTTAACCAATAAATTTGTAACCTCTACGTATCATCACACCTCAAATAACCCTTTGGCCCCACGGGGAACCTTGTGCCTCTTGTCAGCATTTTATTGCAATTTGTGACAATATAGGCACAGGCACAAATCCTTAACCACACAGGTACACAAAGGTCCTGAACACACCCAAAACTGCCCCACCTTTTTTTAACAGCGTGCCTTGGCGAGTACTTGGTATTCTGCTTTTGTTGGATTTGTGTTCAGCCTTCATCATTTCAAATAAACTCAACTCCGGTTTTAGATGTACAACATGCCCTCAGGGTTTCCAGCTATTTGATTTCTTTAAGCCAGTGAAGAAAGACTTCTCGACCAGTGCCAGCTGTCTCACCTGAGAGTTGAAGACGAAGTATTTGGGTGTGCACATCTCCTCAGCACTAGGGCGGGGCTCAACGTGGACTCCGGTGGTTTGATGAATGTTGTGGCTGCTGGGGACAGCCGGGGAAACATCAGCCCGTGAGAAGTCCATGTGCGTGGTGTTGTTTGGCAGCTCGTACAGACCCAACATGTTGGAGGAGTTCATGCTGAGGTTAGACGAGTGGCCGTAAAAGAAAGGAAGAGGGCAGGGGAGCTGGGTCTTCTTGTAGATCACCTGAAGAAAAAAAATGGAACTTAGGCTCTGGTCTTCCTGCAGAAGTTCTCCATCTTGGTTATGTTTGACAACTTGGAGGCAGTGGAACTAAAAATTATCCAGCTGACATTTGTTTTTTGTTGATAAAAAGCAAATAATAGTGTATTTTGCACTTTAGCAATCTGAGTTATTTCTTGGTGACCACAGCTCCCAGGACAAAACTAACCACAAGACAAACGAGCCAGAACATTCTCAAGTTAGTTGCTAATGTTGTCTCGGTCTGGTGCGGCGTACAAGTACAATTTTTTCATGGTCTCCTCGTGTTTGTGCAAGTTTTCTCCCACAGTCTGAATGTACATGTACATGTATGTTTAAACTGCCTTCAGTAAAAACTACAGTAAGACCAAAGTTCATTAGCAAAACAGTATTGACGTTTTTTTTGTTTATAGAGTTTATACAGTTTATAGTAATGCTATAAACTGTATGGTCAAAACTTCCCTTTGCTGCACAGTTAGCAAATATGCTAGCTAGCAGTTACGTTTTTAAGCATTAGAAATTCTTGCCTTTCTTGTTTCTTGGAGACAATTTTGTGTTTTCTGTCTTAGAAGCTTGTGAACAAGCCATGGTGTTTACCAAGAAACAGATACGACTAGGCCTGTCACGATAACAAATTTTGCTGGGCGATTAATTGTCTCAGAAATTATTGCGATAAACGATAATATTGTTTGAAATTTGACAATAATTTAGTAATTATTGTCAAATATAAGAAGAAATATTTCTTTTGCATGTAGTACCTCTTTTCGACCACCAGATGGCAATATAAGAATGCTTGAACTGAAGGATGGATGCTGAGGGAGCGAGCAGCGTGTCGCTTTGGAGCTCGACAAGACGGAGGTTTTTTTCCCTGAGGTCGGCCTATTAGCTTAGCTCGTACCTTAACTTCTCAGCTTAGTTACTTTTAACGATAAAAAAACGCAATTTTGGATGGTTAAAACAGATTTTAAAGAGAAAAAAGAAAGGGAGGGGTCAGTGAAGAGCACCGGGGTTGAGATTTTTGTCATCCAGTGTCTTCAGTAGAAAGAGAGACACGAAGAAACGATAAAGCCGAAAAATGAAAATGAGGTTGATAATGTTCATTTATCATGTGATTAATTTGTTTATTGTTTATCGCGACAGGCCTAGATACGACAACATAAAGACTGTTAATACGTGAATTAGCAATGTGTTAGCATTAGCACTATGTTAGCATTAGTACTATGTTAGCATTAGCACTATGTTAGCGCTAGCGATATGTTCAGCTTAAAAGCTAAACTTACTGCAGCCAGGAAAAAGACCATGCAGGTCAGGGAAAATCCACTGGTGTAGCCCAGGTAACCTACAAAAACAAAAACAAAGTTCAATCAACAAAAATGTAACTAAAATACATTTTTATCTTTTTTTTTAAAGACATGTCCCGTTCTAGATTACAAGCTGTACCTAAAAGTAGAAAAACTAAATTTAATAGTCTCAAAGCAAATGTATTGTCAGCAGGTATAAATCTTTATTATTGTGTCAGAAAACTAACTCTGTAAATAACAAAGTCCATGCTCAATAATCCTCTGTAAATATTCTTTAAAGGTCAGTTTTGTAGCTTTATGTTTTAGCTGCACAATTAGTAGTTTGTTGGGCTGCTGGAGTGGAGCCACCTGAATCAGCCCGACCACCATGCATATAAATTCTGTCTGAGAGCTGGAGCTGACTTCAGACTTAGTGCCAGGATTATGTTCCTATGACTCCTGCCAGAGCTGAGTAAGAGCTGGAATGGTGTTACATTACACCTGGTTTGGTGAAGCTGGGGATGGCTGCGAGAACATGGAAGTGCCAAGAGCTCTGGCAACAGGTGAGTCATATATGACGGTAAAACCAAAGCAAAATATTAGTACCAAAAAACAGCTTCATTTTCTCTAAAATATGCACGAATAGCTAATTATCTCAACGAGTCATCATGAAAATAACTTTCTAAGTATGGCCTCCCTCTGCTTCCGTAGATTAGAAAATCGTACCCAGGTTTTTGAGGAGAGACAACGGCAGAATGATGCCCACGGATACAAAGACCACCAGGTAATTACCGTTTAGGTACCATTCACTGCAAATACAGAACAGATTTAAAACTGCAGAAAACGAAAGATGAAAACAAAGCTGGAGATTGGTTTTAAAGGGAATAGATGCTCACCCAGAGTTTTCTTCCAAGTGCATGAAGGTTCTGATGACTTCAGGCAGCTCGTACTTCACAATAAAGAGGTAGCTGGACATGGCTGCAAGACAAGAAAACTCAATATATTCTGGTATATAAATTGGATAAATTTACAATATTATTAGGGTTACAGATTTAGGGTTTACCTCCAATGTTTTGCATGATTATTGAAATAAAGGCGGCCATTTTTCCCGGCCAGCCAAAGGCTCTCTCTCCCAGCTTCTCATAGATCAGGGATCCTGCCCCCCACAAAAAAAAGACACTTTCATAAACAACCATCTGCAGAAGACCGTACAAATATCTGAAGAACATCATTGGTCACTTGGGAATAAACTGATCTCCCTACTCTGTACTCAAATACCGACCTCCTTCTTTGGACGTCAACAGGAGCAGGTGTACGGAGTATAAAGACAGGATGGCCACAGCAATCAGGAGGATTCTGCACAGACGGGAACAAAAATGGAAATGAAGCAGAAACACAAACATGAAACTTTGACGCCTTCCTGGAAACTTGACGTACTTTATATTGTCATCTGAATAAGCCAAGCGAAGTGACACCAGCAGCTGCTCAGAGATGTGTCATTTGGCCTTATTGGATTCTGTGTCCAGTCAACTTCTTTTAGGTATGGAGGGTGCACCCTACTGACCCCCTTGGTTATCATAGCTATTTAGAATTACTAGAACCTCAAACATAAAAAAAAAACATTGTTTCTGAACAATTAATTGGGAAAATTCCTGCACAAATATAATATCTTTGCAGTAATGTCCATGGAATCTGGTCAGAACCTACAACAGGTTGGATATTATTTGTTCATAATGTTTCTACAGAGGTACAGGGTGACAGTGAGGTGTCGGAAAATATTCATGACTAATAAATGACAAGTTCGGAGAACTGGGCAGCGAAGGATTGTGGGGCACAGCTAGAGGTCAGCTAGCTCTGTGAGACAATGCTGAACTCCATTTCACGTCAAATTTCTTTACACAGCAGATATCAGATCAAAATGTTGCATTGTCCAGTGCTTTCATTCGTGTGTACCATATTTTTTGGCATATAATTCGCGTTTTTTGCATAATTTGCATGTCCTGCGACTTATGTGCCCAAGTGACCTATTTATGGATGTTTTCTTATATTTATAAACCAATTTTTGGCTGAGACATGACCGTTTTCATTCATTCTGACTGAAAATATAGATGGCACTCGAGCAGTATGGCATGCCGTTGTGTCATGTAATAGGTAAAAGTGGCTATTAATGACACAGTCAGCTTGGCACAGCCTGCCACCTTCGTCCAGCTCACCTGGAACAACCATCAAATCAGCTTCATTTCGCTGCCCCACTCCGGTGAATGCAGCTAATTTGATCAGTAAAGTGCATTTATTAAGTAAAAGTTAAACTGAGTCACACCTTTACTATAACATCGAGCAAACAAACAATTACTTTTAGGTGGTTATCTTGTTAAATTTTGAAGAAATGTGCAGCGTTCCTCCTTCCTGATTTCCTCCCTCAGAGCACAGCTCCCAGAGCACCGAGGCAGCGGATACTTTTAAAATGCAGCTGATTTGACCGTCAAAGTGCATTTATTAATAAAACGTTAGACTGAGACACACCTTTACTATAATTTCAAGCAAACAAATAATTGTTTTTAAGTGTTAGTCTTGTTAAATTCTTGTTAAAATCCTTCCGTGTACGCTCCCGCAGCCGCCAATTGGCAGCTGATCGATTTTTGGCACAACACCGGCCCACATTTCCGGGTTGTCAGCGATGACACATAACAAACGCGACACGTCAGCGGTAACGCATAATAGATGCGACTTATACGGTGAAGCGACGTATGTATGGATTTTTCCACTTTATTAGACATATTTGGACTGATGCCACTTATAGGGTGGTGCAACGTGTACGGCGGAAAATACGGTAAACACTAGCAGGAATCTAGACATACATGTGACTTAAATGCTAAGCTAACAAAGGTGACCACATGAACAGCTAAAGATCAACATGTCAATACTGACGTTACTTACGTAAAGAGAACGATGCCGGTGTTTGCCATGGCAAAGGACAGGCCCAGAATCCCGCTGCCCATGATGGCGTTGCTCAGATTAAAGACCGACATGCCAAAGGAAGCGTGGCCGGGAAACTGTTTGAAGAAAATGAAATCTAAAGATCTGCTTTTCGACTATAAGTCGGTACTTTAGTGACATTACTGGTTTGGTCTTACATCTTCTTCCTCGTATTTCTTCTTCATTGGTATCCCATCAGACAGGAATCTATGGCTTTCTCCGTCTTCATTATCATCCATGAACTGGCTGCAGCAAAGAGCAAGAAAAAAAAACACTTAGCATAATGATTCATCAGGCTTCTTTAAAATTATTCTGTAGCCGTTTACTTGAACCAGTTCTTTACAATCTTACCACATTTATAGAAACAATGCTTAAAGTTTAATGTTTTTTGTTTTCACACTGTGGCCTTGTTTACAAGAGGAGTTTTCTGGGTTTGGCCGTTCATTTACACGACAACAGCCTCGTTCTCTCTGAAGCCGAAGGTTTCTTAATCCTGGTCTCAGAGTGGAGATTTTCAGAACAATCCTCAAGGAGGTGTGAAATCTCACCATTTGTGAAGTTGCACATGTGCACTATTCACTGCAGTCAAAAGTTGTACTGTGCTAACAGCAGTTCCAGCAAATGGCGGAGAGCAGAGTGTTTTTCTGCTACGCCCCATTTTTCAGCATGTACAAACAAAATCATCAACATCCTAGGTCCAAAGAGACGTTAGTGTATTCACCGGTTTGGACGTAACTGTGATCATGCAGACGCTGCATGCACGATGCATGCAGGAGAGCCCAGCATCAGGGTTGCCAGATCAAATAAAAACTTTTTTTTCCACCCCTCCTTTTCTGTGCACGTTCGCCAAACAGCGCACACACCTCATCTTACAACACCTTTACTCAGCACATATGACAGTAGGGGATGAAATACTATTATTTTAAAGCAACAGTACACTAGCTCTTATCTGGCAACCCTGCCTGGCATAAAAACTACAGCATTTTCAGTAAACCTGCACTTTTTTATGTTTATATAAATAATAAACACATTTCCAGAGGTTCTCGTGTAAAAGAGGCTGAAAACACACCTCAGTTTACACCCTCCCCCCAAAAAGCACACCTCACTCAGCACATATGATAGTTTGAGTAAAAAAAACTATAATTTTCAAGCAACGCTACAATAGTTCTTCATTTCCTAATTGGAAACCTTGATTAGCATGGGAACTATGGCAGATCCATGTAAACACTTTTTTTTGGTTTGTTTATTAGTCACAATTTGAAAAAAACAAACAAAAAAAACCCCCACTAACGTTTCCAGAGATCATTCTCGTGTAAACAGGGCCTTAAACTTATAAGTTTCTGACCTGTTCAGGGTTCCCTTTTCTGAGTCCATGGGATCCTTTAAGTGGCCGTTCAAGCTGGCGGTGCTGTCATCATCATCGGCCTCGGTGGGGACCCTCTGCAGCTCCATTAAATCTCTAACCTTTGGCATCTTGGTGGACACAGCAGGGCGAGACGTAGGAAGATCAGGGGTTTCAGGATTTTGTAGGGTCCACAGAGAAATGGCACAAGGTCCTTCTTCCTTGTCTAGATGTAAGTTATGAAGGAAATACCTAAAAAATTAGAAAAAGATAAAAGAGTTACAGGTTAGAATGATTTCGAGGACACCTGGTCTAATCCACTTTAACCAGTGTGATAAAGTTTACCAAAGAATTACAATTTGTAACTTCTCACAGGGCTGCAGATGCATTTGTCTGCAGGCTTATCAGTCCCCTCCAGAACCTTTTGGCCTTGATGACAAACACTATAGATTGGAGCTGTCTACCCCGGAAACTATTTCCTGGAACTAAGGGACTCCGTATTTCCTTGAAAAGGAACTCTTCAACCCGTAAAAGAGATACACTGGATCATTTCTGTCAGTCTGTATGCCAACTAGCTTATAAATCCAGCTGTGTATGACTAAATTCTACAATCCAGACCTTTGGTAAACCTCTGGGACGTAACTACACGGGAAGCCCTCCGATTACAAACGGGCAATTGAGAAAGTGTATTAAACCTGTGTTTTCGAACCCAACACCTACATGCAAATACAGGCATTTAAAAGATGTCAAACTCCCAGATGTATTCAGTTAGACCTTCAGGCCACCAACAGGTCGCTCGTTTCTTGTAAGCGTTTAACCCAGCTTTGTCCAAAACATAGTTTTAAAGAAAGTGCATCAGTTGTGTCATCCACTCTGTTTCCTATCTGTAACATTCATCAGTGGGTTATGTGAGAGATGTCAAAGGCAGGGAATGAAGCCTGTACGACTCAAAACGCAACCACCACTAAAAAAACAAACAAATTTCCAGAGTTCTTTGTCTCTCATACAAAGTGCTCTTTAAGTGAGCTGGAGGAAAATATTCCAAGTGCTACCCACTGAACTAAACACTTAACAACAACATGGCAACAAGTACACGTCTGCACCAACAGAATTGATGATGCCATGTTTCATTTGCCACGGAAACTGGAAATGAGATCTAGGAATGACTTCACACCCAACTCAACTATGTGGGGCTGCTGCCGCACAATGATGCCAGTTATGGTCTGATCTGTGTTTTTGGTCAACATGTTTGTCCATCCATCCATCCATTATCTTTACCCGTTTATTCCATTTTGGGTCACGGGGGTCGCCGGTGCCCATGTCCAGCAATCACTGTGCGAGGGGCGGGGTACACCCTGGACGGGTCGCAAGTCCATCACAGGGCCACATAGAGACAAACGAGACAAACAACCATTCACTCTCTCACTCACACCTAGGGACAATTTAGAGTTACCAATCAGCCTAACATCCATGTTTTTGGTCTGTGGGAGGAAACCGGAGTACCCGGAGAAAACCCACGCATGCACGGAGAGAACATGCAAACTCCACCCAGAAGGCCCCTGGACTGGGGTTTGAACCAGGGACCTGTTCACTGAGAGGCAGCAGCTCTACCAGTTGCGCCACCGTGCTGCCCCAACATGTTTGTATGAATTTATTTTTTATTCCTAAAGCTAAAGAACAACAAGAGCTCTTCTACAGGCTGCAAACACCAGTCAAGTCAGAAAAGGTCTGAATCTTTGTTCTTCCCACATTGGTTGAGGAAAACAACCTGATGCTTGGAGAAAAATCTCAACAGGAACACATCTGAACACGCAGGCTTTTTATTTTCATAGATGCATAAATTTGTCATGTTGGATTTAGAGCTTGAAACCTGTATTTTATACTTGGTTAAATTTTGGATGGCACGGTGGCTCAGTTTGTAGAGGTGTTGCCTGTCAGTGAGAGGGTTGGCCGATTGAATCCCAGCCAGGGACCATTGTGGGTGAAGTTTGCATGTTCTCTCCGTGCATGCGTGGGTTTTCTCCAGGTACTCCAGTTTCCTCCCACAGACCAAAAACATGCATGTTAGACTGATTGGTAACTCTAAATTGTCCCTAGGTGTGAAGTGAGGTGTGGTGTCGTGACTTTACGTGTCGCACGTTCAGTGCTGAACATGGGCACCAGTGACGAAAACAGGAAGAAGTAGGTAAAGATAATGGATGGTTACAGTTTATTTTGTGATACAGTGAAAATGCCAAAGTTGACTGTTAAAAATATAAATTATTTTGATTTTCGGAGAATAATTAGTCATTTAGATTAATTGAAGAAAAAACAACTACCGTACTTGCCGCCGTATAAGTCGCATCTATAATGCGCCACCGCTGACAACACGGAAACGTGGGCTGGTGTTGTGCCAAAAATCAATTGGCTGCCAAAAGGCGGCTGTGGGAGAGTACATTTTTCCTGGGCGACGAGGCGAAATGCAGCTGATTTGATGTTTGCTCCAGGAGTTATGGAGCGAGATGAAGGTGGCTTTGTATGTATAGCAAGCCAAGTGTCTCATTAATAGCCAATTTTACTTATTAATGAGACACTTGGCTTGCCATATTACTCGAGTGCCGTCTAGTGGCTGAAAATGTTAGTGTTCAATATTTCCCATGTCAGAATGAATGAAATAGTCAGATCTCAGCCAAAAAATGGATTATAAATATGGGGAAAAAACAAATAAGTCGCGTCGCTGTATAAGTCGCAGGGCATAATAATTTATGCAAAAATGTGTGACTTATACAGCGAAAAGTACGGTAACTACTTTTAATGACCAGGGCAACCATATTGGATTCAAAGGTTGGTGTTAGCCAGAGACCTTTCACTTTTAAAGTCAGAGTTTCGACTTTAAGAGGCGTTCCAGTTGATTTTTACAATTTCATCTATTTCTTTGCTTTTTCTTTTCTGGGTGGCGGAGAGCTGGTTTCTATCTCCGGCAGTTACTGTGGACAGGTCTTACAATTAATTTTCTCACTCACACCTAGGGACAATTTAGCGTTAATTACCCTAATGAACATGTTTTTGGTTTGTGGGAGGAGACCGGAGTACCTGGTGAGTCACCAATCTGATGGATGACTCACAGAAACTCAGATTTATACAAGTTTAAAATCCTTTATTTTACCAGGAGAAACTTGTTGATTTTAAAACCTAATTTATGTCTTTGTATTTTGTCGCCTGTCTTGGCAAAGTTTCATAAAACAAACTTTAACAATGATAACGTTAAACACTAATAAAATAAACTACAAAATCTGTACCTTAAAACAGGGTTGACCAAAGACTATCTGTCAGAACGATTAATTTAAAAGAGATACAGAAAATGATACAAATCCAAACGTTCATAAAAAGTAGATTAGCTGGAGGTGGAGGTTTTGGTCTGTGGGAGGAGACCGGAGTACCTGGAGAAAACCCCACACATGCACGGGGAGAACATGCAAACTCCACTCAGAAAGGTCAGGAAATGAACCTACGGTTTTATAAAGAGACTGGGCTAACCACCGCTCCACCGTACTTCCCATTTTTTACAAATTGAAATATGAATCCAGCACGAGTTGAGGGACACACTTCTTTTAATTTATCCGTGTCTACGTGCCACTTGGCATTATAAATCAGGCATACAATCAGATTTTCTTTTTGTTGACAACGAAGCTTTACAAAAAGCACGGAGCCAATCTACGCCTGAAGTATTTACACATTAGACTATTGAGTATTTGTGAAATCAGTAAGATTACAACAGGGCTAAACAGTTTTGCAGTTAGTTAAACAAATAAATTAGTAAATTTCTCTTTATAAGGAACTACTGCTGAAGGAAGTATAAAAAAGTCACAAATAAAGCTCAAACCTAAAAATAGTCGAGTCAACAATCTGTCTGTAACGTTGCAAACTACACACGAGCTCCAAGTAAACATGAACGCTGGCCGGTAATTCTCCACGACTGAAACAGGATAAACACCAGAAAAGGTTAGATTCAGCTTCGGTTTGAAATATGATGTGTTTGAGCAACAGAGAATTTGCATCATCGTGTGAGAAGAGTTATTTTGCAACAGGACAAGAAGGCACCGTCGACGTTGCCCACCTCCACCTGGTGGATACATGTTCAACCTGACGACCTCCCTGTGATCACACTTTTGTCACTACAACACGTGCTGTATCAGCCAGTTGAATTTTTGAGGCTGCTATAAAATAAATCCCCATCAGACTCTTGTGGACGTCTAATCTCACCTTTATCTCCCTGTGAAGTGAAAGGGGGAAGGAAGTTTTTACTTTGTGGCTCGGAGGGTTAACCTGTCTAATTGCGCTATCGTAGACATTTAATACTTAAAGTGAAGATGCGTGTTAATTAGTCATCAGTTATCTCTGTAGAAAATTAGCAAGCACAAAGGCAACAGTGGAAAGAAAAAACTCCCTTTTAACAGGAAAACTCCAGCAGAACCAGGCTCAGGACGAGCAGCCACCTGCTTTGAGTTCTCAGTAGTTACCGGTAGTTCCTTATCAGTGGCCCTATCAGCCCCGGAGGCTGCCGACTGTGCAAGTCTGCTGGATCAGAACGTCTAGTCAGTCACGGTTCAATAAACTCCTGAATAACCTAAATGAGCAGTGTCTGCCAAAAAACTGCAGAGGTTTCATATTGGCTGTTGTAGCGTTCCTTCACAGTCTGTCAGACTATCGTTTGGCTAGCCTTAAGCTTAGCGTGGTTGAAGACTTTTGCCTCCACACTTGGTGCTCTATGGATGAAAAGTTACTAACTGTAGAGAACATTACTTCAAAGTTGAGTGGACTATCCATCCATGCATTATCTTTACCTGCTTCTTCCATTTCATGCGACTTCTTCCATTTCTTGGGGCTCCAGCTGAACAGCAAGGAATGCTAAAGCTATAGTAAAAAGTAGCTAATGACGCCACAGAGGAGAGGTAAACTGTAACTACTGCGTGTAGATCGTCAAATCATTTGTAAAAGTGGCCCGAGTGCCAAACTGTGTCCTTGGGACATCAGCAGCCTGCTTGAGTTTAAAAGCTAAAGGTAGCTGACCCTTCTGCATCTATACCACCATTACTCAAAGTCATCTTTCTCCTTTCTTTAAACCATGTATTTTTTAATACTAAGTCAAATTGTGCATTTACCATTTTATGAAAACCTGTGCAGAAAGAAGGGTTCTTGAGGAAACTTTGAAGGGAACATGAATCAACATGACTCACATCAAATAAATCTTTCAGTAATCTCACTCCCTGCTG